GTGACTCATAGCAGCCTAGCTCCAGGTCGAGCTGTTGTTCACCATCTTAGCTGTAGAGTGCACAGCGTCACGGGCCCTCATGTGGGATCCGAACCAGCAACCCTGCTGCTCAGAGCTCCCGCTCCCAAGCCAACTCTTAACCAGCTGAGCCACTCCGCTGGCCCTCGCCCACTCCCCCCCCCCTTTTTTTTTTTAAAAGAAAACCAAATGGTTGCAGTCTACATACATTGTTTGGTATCTTGCTTTTTTTTTTCATTTAATCTGTCTTGGATATTTTATATCAGTATATTTAGAGCTTTGTAACAATTGCATAGTCTTCCTTTGTATAGATTTATCCTACTTTCCTTCTATTTTCCTTTTCTCCTTCCTTCCCTTCTAGTCTTCCTTTTAGTCTTTTCTTCCCTTTTGTTTCCCCCTTTTCCCCTGCCTTTTCAATTAAGTAATCCAATTCAGACAATAGTATCCTGCCATATTAGAAGAATCTTTAACTGGGATTTAATCTTTATTTTGAAAGGGTAAAGGATTTATACCAGTTATTATGTTTTAGACTCAGTTTGTTTTTATAGATGGAATTGACTTCCTTCTGTAATGACATGTGTTTTAAGACCTTTTGCTTCTGACTTTTCTGAGTAGAGTTCCAGAGGAAAAAAATTTAAGAGATTGATTCTTCTCTATTCTTACAGGTCTTATTAGTTCAGAACCTAATTTTATTCCAATTGTATTCATAATTTATTTAACCATTTCCCTGTAGTTGGACATTTGGATTTTACATACATTCTTGTTTGTATTTTTTTCACTATATCATTTCACACATGTAAATGTATTTGAAGGATAACAATCTAGAATTAAAATTCATAGGTCAAGAGTATATGCAGTTGCAAAGTTGATAGATATTACCAAATTGTCCACTATAGTGGTGAAACTGATTTACATCACCACAGCCAACATACAGATAATTTTCACCACCATATTGTATTGTTAAATTATTGAACTTTATTAACCTGATGGAAAAAAGGAAATCTGATTACAGTTTTAATTGGCGTTTCTCTTATATGTGAGACTGAACATCTTTTTAATATGTTGAGTCTTTTGTATTTCCTTCTATCATTATCTTTTTTTCTTATTGATTTCTAGGTACTCAATATATTAAGAAAAAGTAAACTCGTGTGATTTGTAATATGACTGTTTTCCTATTTCTTGACATTTGTTGAAAAAGAATTGCTGTATTTCTAATGATAGTTCTTGAGCAACTTTTTTATTGCCATATATAAATATTTTTTGAGGTGAAATTTATTAATCTTTTATGGCATTGGGTTTCGTCTTATTCTCAGCAAGGCATTCCTAACCTTGAGACTATTAAAACAAAAATAAACTGCTTTTTCTTCTAATACTTTTGGGTTACTTTAAAATTTTTTTATCTGTTTGACATTTGTTTTCATGTGAGAAATACTTTTCAGATGGCTGCCCATCAACATTTATTGAATAAGTCACATTTTTCCCAATGATGTGCATGCACTGTCATCTTTAGCTTTTATTAAATCCCTGTATATATTTGGGTTTGTTTTAGGATTGTCTTGACCACATCTCTACCTGTTTATGCATTAGTACCACTTTTTAAATGACTATACAATTATAAGTTTTAAAATATTTTAGTGCTTTTAAGTAATTTGTTTATTCTTATTTATTTTTCCATATGTACTTTATAATCATTATGTAAGATGTTTTTTTAAAAACACTTGGTATTTTAATTGGGCTTGCATAATTTTTAAAGCTTAATTTAGGGAGAAGTTAAATCATAATGTAGTCTTTTTAAAAACATGGTTTTGCTTCTCATTTGTTCAAGTATTTTTTGTGCTTTTTAGTACCATTTACAATATTCTTTGCATAGCTTTTGTTTTTTTTCTTGTAAGGTTTATTCTAATCTTATCATTTTTTGTTATTATAAATGGGATTGTTTTCTTTAATTATATCATCTAACTTTTTGTAGATGCCCATGGGTTTCAATTTATTATTTTTATATGCAGCTACTTTACTAAAATTTCTCTATTTGCAATAATAGTTTATTGGCTGTATTCTTGGATTTTCCAGGTATCCACTCATCTCATTTGCAGTAGTAATTTTATTTCCTCTCTTCTATTTTTAAACTTCTTTCTTTTTTTTTTTTTAGATTTTTATTGGGGAATTGGGGGGATGGGAACAGTGCCGGGGAATTGGGGGAAGAGGAACAGACAAGTTGCTGTCGTTTTGTTCTTCAGTCTAGTTGTGGAGGACGTTGCTTCACTGGCCCAAATTGGCACCATCATTGCATTCTTCCCGGGCAGATCAGTCGCCAGCTTCTGGACCGCCGCTCACTGCAGCTGCTGGCCGCTCACGCTGGCTGCTGGCTACATATGGTAGCCCATGGCAACCCACTGCCACGGGGGCTGCAGCCTACGCTGTCGCTGACGACTCATGGCAGCCCAGCTCCAGGTTGAGCTGTTGTTCAGCATCTTAGCTGTGGAGGGCAGTGTCACTGGCCCTCATATGTGGGATCCGAACCGNCAGGTTGAGCTGTTGTTCAGCATCTTAGCTGTGGAGGGCAGTGTCACTGGCCCTCATATGTGGGATCCGAACCGGGGCCCTCTGGCATCCCAAGACAGTTCTTAACCATTGTGCCACTCGGCCGGCCCAAACTTCTTTCTTTCTTAACTAATGATATTGGCCACCGCCTCCAGAACAGTGTTAAATATTTGTGCTGAAAAATGAACACCCTGTTTTCTTCCTGATTGTCAGTACTTCTAGGGTTTCTTCGTTACACATGATACTGGTTTTAAATTGTATTGTTTATATCATCACATTAAGGAAGTTGGCATAGTGTTTGTTTCAAAATAATAAAAATAAAAAATCTTATGTTGACAGAAAAGTAGCTAGGGCAGTACAAAGAATTTTTTTCTGAACAATTTGAGGGGAAGTTGCCAGCCAGCCTGATGGCCCATTGCCTCCTACCAAATACTTTAGGGTTTATTTTCTATGAACCTAGAGCCAATAAAATTAGAAAACTAGCACTGAAAAATTGTTATCATCTAATCCTCAGACCCCATTCATGTTTCTCCAATTGTTCCAGTAAAGACCTTTTATGGTCAAATCCAGTCCAGAATCATACATTACATTTGTTTTTCATGTCTTTTTAGTTTTCTTCAATCTGAAACAATCTATCCTTGACTTTTATGACCTGATATTTTTGAAGATTACAAGACAATTTATGTAAAATGCCCCTTAGTTTGAATTTGCTGATGTTTTCTTATGATTGATTTTAGGTTATGCATCTTCGGCAGAAATACCATAGAGGTATTCTGTGGTCGCCATGGAATATCACAGATATTCCTGTTATTCCTTTTAGTTTGCCTTCTCCAGGCACCTCCATTTTCTTTGTAATCTTTCTCCCTTCTGGGTCTTGTATTTTTGTAAATATTTAACTAATCCAGTATATGAATTGATAGGAAGATAGGAAAGCAAGTGTACTGGGAGCATAAGGAGATGGTTGGTGGGTTGGGAAATGAGTCACAGTAAAGACTTTTGAGTAATATGGGCTGAAGTTTCAGAATCATCCAGGACTAATGATGGTGGTAGAAATACAAAACTAGCCAAAGGGTATAGAGAGGAAGAAATGGATAATCAACTTTATTGTTACTTTGATTATATGAGCGCACTGATTATTATTATTATTATTTTATTTATTTTTTTAAAAAAGATTTTTATTGGGGAATTGGGGGGATGGGAACAGTGCTGGGGAATTGGGGGAGGGGAACAGGCAAGTTGCTGTCGTTTTTTGTTCTTCAGTCTAGTTGTGGCGGACTTTGCTTCACTGGCCCAAGTTGGCACCATCACTGCGCTATTCCCGGGCGAGGCAGATCAGTCGCCAGCTTCTGAACGACTGCTCACGCTGGCTGCTGGCTACACACGGTAGTCCATGGCAACCCACTGCAGCAGGGGCTGCAGCCTACCCCTTCACCATCACTGGCGACTTACAGCAGCCCAGCTCCAGGTTGAGCTGTTGTTCAGCATCTTAGCTGTGGAGGGCAGTGTCACTGGCCCTCATATGTGGGATCCGAACCGGGGCCCTCTGGCGTCCCAAGTCAGCTCTTAACCATATGGGCTCTGCCGGCCCTGATAGTTATTCTTGATGACCTTTAAATAGACCTCCTGCTGTATTCTTAGCGGTGTTATGAGTTACTTTAACAAGTTAGTGTTTGCAACATAGTTTCAATTCCTTTAGTGGAAGATTTTATTTCAATCCTAAATGTCTTTTTAATTATTCTGGAGAGCAACTCATTCCTAGCCCTCTGTTTTACTGAAGACAGGGGTTTTACAGTTTGTTTCATGTTAAAATGTAGGGTGTTTTATCCTGAGTAATTCTGTGGAGGGGCCATGAAACTACACAGGGCCAATATCTCTAATTTTTACTTTTCCAACTTGCACTTTCTTTTTTCCTGCATATTAAATATCCTAAAGGGGGGTGGACTGAAAGGTGGGGATAGAGGAAAGGAAGCTATATATTGTTTGTAGGGGAGGTCTAGGATAGTCTCTCAACTCCATCATAAACTCAAATATATGGTGAAGCTCTGAGTGAAGCAGGGGTATTATAAGAACTCATGAGTTTACTTTCCCTCCTTCCCCATCTTCACTCTTTTTTAAAGAGAAAACCCTGCAATGCCTTTGGAGACAACATTTGAGCACACTATATTGTATACTTTGCCTATGTCTGTATTTATTTGTTGTTTTAGATTACAGACTCTTAGATGATATGGACTATATATACACCTTGTAAATTCCCTAGTCTGAAGTAAAATGCATACAGATGTTCTTTTTTTAATCTTGCAGTTAATGCCTTTCTATATACTTACTTATGTAAAGGAAATGTTTCTCCATCTAATTGTTCTATCTTCTAAAGGTTCTTTTTCAGCTGAGTGTTTAAAAAAATTTCGTCTAAAACTGAGTTTTGTCTTTCTTTCCCCACTCAGGCCCAGATTGCTTTCCTTCAGGGGGAAAGGAAAGGTCAAGAAAATTTGAAGAAGGATCTTGTGAGGCGGATCAAAATGCTGGAGTATGCTCTTAAACAGGAAAGGTAATTCAGTAAAGTGGAAGGTAGTGTTCTCTAAAATATTGGAATAATTTTTGTCATTCCTAAAACAAATAGAAATTTTAATACTTTATACTTCTGAATTCAGGAAATAGCATCTGTAATAAAAATTCATAAATGGTTGTAATATGCTAATTTAATTTATTAACATTTAATAATGACTAACAGATTTATGTGATTTTTAAAAATTTTAGCAACATTTTTTCCCTACTCTGTCCTTTAAGAAGCATGTATTACTTGAACTATCAGTTTCTTTATGGAATTGAAATAGTTTTTTGAGTTGTAAAGGAAATTTATATAATGTTTACAACCCTTTTCCTATCACCTAATAGTATTCAATTTGATGTATTTTCTTTGGAAAAAAAAATTGCTCTGGCAGACTATGTTGCAAACCTTTTTATAGACTTTTTGATATTTTGTTCCTTTGCTATCAGCTATTCATATCTCTCCAGAAACAAATCTTACCTTTCTATTTTGCTAGTGTCTAAGATACTCAAATAACTAAACTTGGGTCATAAGTAAAGGACAATAGGCCATAGATGAAAGTTTTAGAAGGTTTCATATGAATTAAGTTTATTTGCTTTAGTGATGGTCTTTGGATTTTATTTACTTATTTATTTTGTCAGCAGTGTGAAACAGTCTTTTGTTTTGAATACTTAATAGGTGATATTGAAATTCTCTATTTTGCTTTATTTTTGACAATCACATGCTTTTCTCATTATTTTGAAGTTGATAAATGGACTATTTGCAAAACTACCATAAAATAGCATTTAGCAGATGATATTTATAAATACCAAGAAATAGATAAAACTTTATTAGAACTTGTGTTCACCTTTATGTGGGATCATTAAATGGCACAAAAGATTGGAAACAGGTCATCCTGTCAGTGAAGAATAGGTGGTTCTTTTTTTTAGGAAGTTGGTTTAAAACTGTTTGGGGGAAAAAAAACACAAAAGTACACATTTAAAAGTAATAATTTGGGAATATTTGAGATTTTAAGCTATCTAAATTATAGGCATAACTAAAGAGAGAGAGTAATAACATTGAAATGGCAACTATTTATTAACTACTATGTACCAGGCGCTGAGGCTTAAAAACTAAGTCTGGGTAGAGTTGCAGAGTTAAGTAGAGCTATGATTCAGACCCCTCAGATGTGTCTGATTCTGAAGGCTGTACTCTTTACCAGTACATTATACTATCTGATAAGACGGAAGAATTGAAATATACAAACACTACAGTGACCAAGAATATTGTGTGTGTTGTGTGTGTGTATGTCTGTGTGTGTATCTCTTGTTAAACATATTCCTTAATCTGTGCATTCAACTTAAGCACTGCGTTAAAGGTTAGTGTAAACATGGGTCATAGTCCTATCCTTAAGGGCATAGAGTAGTAGCTGGAAACAGACTTGGAAACCACAGAGTTGCAGTGCAGTCTGATAGGTGCCGTGGGAGAAGTCTGGGTACAGGGGGTCACAAAGAAGGGAGTGGTTATTTCTGTTTGGAAGATGGAAGGAGAAAGGAGGGCCTAATTAGTGGAGATGAGACTTCATCATCATGAAAAAGAATGTGTCTGCCAGATAGGCAAGGTTCAGGAAGTAGAGAGGATATGTTCGACATGGAATAAAGCAGTTTAGTGTGTTCAGAAATTTGTAATGACTGTGTGTGGAGGGTGGGACGTTAGTTGTGATTTGATAAGAGATGATGGTAGAGATGGGCAAGAGCCAGATCATGCAGAGCCTAACCAAGGAAGTGAAACTTTTATGTTACACAAAACAGGGAACACTGAAAGTTTTCAAAAACTTTTTATTCTAAAATAATCTCAAACTAATAGAACTTGTAAAAACTATATAACATTTACCCAGATTCACCAATTGACCACATTTTACTGTACTTACTTTTATAATGCACACTATAGCATATTGTTTTCCCTCAATCAGTTGCTACTTAGTTGCAGACATTATGTCCCTTCTCCCCTAAATTCCTCTGTGTATATTTTCTAAGAGCAAGGACATTATTCCTTTGAATAATTATGGCTCCTTGTCAAATTTAGGAAATTTAATGTTGATATAATTCCATTATCTAACATAGCCCCTATTCATATGTCCCAGTGATGATCTTTGTAGCATTTTTTTCCCCTGAAATATCCCAATAATGACCTTTATTTTTTTTCCTAGTCCAGGATCCAGTCTAGGAATACATATTACTTTTAGTTGTCATGCATTTGCAAGGCTTTAAGCATGGATGGTGTGAAATAGATTTTAGAAAGAACACCCTGCCTTAATGTGGGGGAGGGACTGGAAAGGTCTGTTAATACAAGCAGGTAGATTGTAATAGTAGTAGCTGCTGGAATAGAGGAGACATCAGCTATAAAACATTTTAAATATAAAGAATCCATACAATTTGGAAGATGGTTGGGTATAGGGGATGAGGAAGAAAGGTAATTCAAGAATGATTCCTAGGTTTCTGGCTTGAAGTGTGAGTTTTGGAAGTTCTCAGATGAACTAAGGATATGAATTAAAAAGCAGATATGGGAGCGGATTCATGACTAGTACATTGGGGATCGTCAATACTGTGGGTAAAGTTATAGGAGTAGTTGAGACAAGCAGAATAAGTATTGTGGGAAGAGAAGAGAACCAGTAGGAGCCACAGGAAATGGAAATGTTTGAAGAAAAGGCAGAGGAGGAAGAGCCAGCAAAGCAGTGGTTGGAGAAGGAAGGAGGCAGCAGTACATGGGAAGCAAGCTAAAGAAGGTGGGAGTTCTGACAATTGCAGGTGCCAAAAAGACTCCAAGTAAATTGTATCTGAAAATAGTCATTTGGATTTGCCAGTTAGAGTTTGTTGGTATCCTTGCCAGAACAGCTTCAGTGAGGTAGTAGGAACATAAACCAGATCACGGGGGATTGAGGGGTGAGAAGGATAGATAAAGAGGAGACAGATATAGTAGCTTGTCTTTGGAGAACAGAAAAGATAAAGAACTGGCCACAGCTCGGGAAGATTTAAAAAAAAAACAATAAAAACTAATGGGATTCTCCTGGAAAAGAATCCCTGATTTTGTATCTTTTGAATTTCTTGGAATGATTTGAGATTATTTATGATGTAATGGCAGTATTGAAGTACGTATAATAAATTAAGGAATAAAAATGCATTTCTTTGTGGATTAGAGCTTTTAAAACATTTCAGTTGTTTTCACTTTGAAGTTATTTTTCTAATGCCTTAATGCCAGGAATTAAAAAAATTTTTGGAGGTCTACATTTTATTCTTTTGATTCTGAAATTATTTTTAATGCCTTAAACCTTAAGCCAATTAAAAACAATTGAAACATAAATGTAGGGAGACTAATATCTTTTATATACACCTTCAAGCCTCAAGTTAACTTTTTTATTATTCTTGCTTTATCTTGATATATTGGGTTGTTGGAAAAGTCATGACGTATTTTTCTGTTTTTCATTGCAAAAATGCATCATGACTTTTCCAACAACCCAATATTTTAAAGTAAATTCCATACATCTTGTCCTGTAAATATCTAAGTAGGGATCATGGTTTTGGATTGCTGTGTTATAGATTTTCTAAATAGTCCCACTTAAAAAGATTCAAAATTACATAAAACTGAGTCTTTAACATTACAGGATTACTCACCTAGCAATGGATTTATCAAAGCAGCCTTTAAGTATGATAAAATTCACAAAATGAATAAATTTACATATATGAGGTATGATTAAAAAAATAGTGAATGTTTAAATTTTTAAAAATTATTACAGTAAAAGATACATTGCCATTAATCCCCCTCAAAATACTCCCCTCTGCTTCAAACACACTTATGCCATCATTCTTGCCACTTTTCTGAAGCAGCTCTGGAAGTCCTCTTTTGTGAGTGTCTTTAGTTGTGTTATCGTGGCTGCCTTGATGTCCTGAATCGATACAAAAATGTTTTCCTTTCGTGGTCATTTTGACTTTGGAGAAGAGCCAGAAGTCGTATGGTGCCAAATCCAGTGAATAAGGTGGATGAGGACACACTGTAATGTTTTTATTTGACAGAAATTGCCATTTCAAAAGCGATGTGTGACACGGAGCCTTTCTGTTGTGATCACAAAATACAGCAGATGCTGCTGCCAAGTGCCATCCAATGGAAAGGCAGGGATCTTCAATGTGGGAAGTGGCGCATCAAACCTTAGTAACTGTCTGACAAGTTTCAACTTGTTCCGTGCAGTCAGTTGGGTGTGAGCTACGGTTGAGAGAAGGTATGTTTTAAAATGTGCCATAATCAGCCTCCATCATGACAATGCTCCGTGTCACACATTGCTTCTGGTATACAGCAGTTTCTGTCAAATAAAAACATTACGGTGTGTCCTCATTCACCTTATTCACCAGATCTGGCACCGTGCAACTTCTGGCTCTTCCCCAAAGTCAAAATGATTCAGGACATCAAAGCAGCCACGACAGCGCAACTAATGACACAAAAGAGGACTTCCAGAACTGCTTCAGAAAGTGGCAAGAATGAGGCGCTAAGTGTGTTTGAAGCCAGGGGGAGTATTTGAAGGGGATTGATGGCAATGTGTCTTTTGCTGTAATAAATTTTTTTAATTTAAACATTCACTGTATTGTTTGATCACACCTTAATTTTTCAAGAATACACAGTGTATAATCTAAGGTTTATTCAGGAACTTCAGTAATGCAGAACCTCAAATTTTACATAAAATATTCTGAAACATTTTTCTATTTTTCCTCACTTCTCTTCTCTACACTACTAAAAAAACCTAAACTGTCCCACTTGTCTTTAATATTTCCATATCCTAATTCATCTTACATGTTCATTGGACTCATTTTCTAAAACACAGATGTTACATACCTGTTTAAAACCACCTACTGATTTCAGTGTTCTTAGTAAAATCTTTTACATCCAGGCCCCTTTCTAGTCCTATACATATACATACACAGGCGGAAAGCACACACATGCACACTCAAACACACATGTGTACACACACACTGTTAGCTGTCTTTTGACCCAGACCCACTTTGTATTTTTACACGTTGAGGGCCTTTAAGATGTTCCTTCTGACAAAAATACCCTCTACATAAATCCATTTGTCTGATTGGGAAACTACTGGTGTTCTGTGGTTTAGCTAAAATCGCATGTGTTACCTTCTTTTTGGTAGGTGTCCTTGACAACACCTTTGAGAGAATTAGATAATCGCTTATCTGAATTCTTATAACAACTCACATAACTCTTAGCTCTTACCCCATAGTGTGCTCCAAATTTACATTTCTGTCTCTTAGGCGTCTCCTTGCCTCACCCTTATAACTAACTACAAGCTGCAGGTTTATGCCAGCAGCCGGCAGAGTACCTGGCATGTCATAAGAATTCAATAACAGTTCATTGGATTTAATCAAATTATTTTTAACCTCTACATTCAGAATGTGATTGGGATGCTATGGTATATGCCCAGTACGTTATATTTAATAATAGACTTTGAAACAAGGCTATAATGGGGCTTTTAAAGTACATTATAATTATGTAATTTTTATGCTGTTGTATTCAGTAAAGGGCAATTGGGAGGCCTGGCTATGTATCAAATGTATAGTCTTAGACATGACATGTGCTGTTTAACTTGCAGTCAGCTTTAGACAGAAAAAGAACAGGGAACAAGATTGGCAACATAGTGAGATGAAGGGTTAAAACAATAGAAAACAATGTGTGGGAGAAGGTATTTTAGCATATTGACTTCAAAAGGAATGTTACTATGTTGAGCAGGTTTCTGTGAGTAAATTATTTTTTAGTGAATTTATTCAGTTGGGAGACTGTTTTAAGGGAACACAGCTTGTAAACAGAGCAAGCAGTTTTTTTACTTATTTTGTCTTTGTCTAATTTTTTTTCTTTGTCTAATTCTTTATGAAATGTTAGTTCATTGTGTTTTATTATTTTTGTACATATGTTGCATAGAATATTTTCTATTCTCTTTTCTGTATCTCTCTTGCAGTTTTTCCTAAGACCACTAGAATGCACTATAATGCAGTATTTTGTGTTTGAAAGTGTTTTTCTTTATATATACATGGGTGCCAAAAAAATACATGACTTGTATTATCATTTGTTATTGGTATATATTGAGTATTACAATTTTAGTACAGTTTTTTTTTTCTTAAAATGTGTGTACATTTTTTTGGCACCCTCTGTATATATAACAAAAATATATAAATTAACTCCATACAATTTTTTGCTACTTCTATTCTGTCCTCAGGCCAATTACTTTCAGTTACTGTTTTGATTTCTAGGTTCTAGGAGGTATTTTACTTTCTTATGGTAGATGAAGTATGTTTCAGAAAAGCCTGAACATTGACAGTTAAATTAAGAACCTTGTTTACTTTCTGATAAGTGTAAGTCAAATTAATGGATATAAATCTTACCCTCTAATCATCAACATTATTACAGATACATTGAAATGGACTAGGAAATGTTTAGTCTGGTGATGAAATCTTTGTGATTAACAGAGGCATTGGGAATAGAGAAAAAGATGTTCTAGATAATTTGGAACAAAATATTTACTAAAAATTAAAAAAAGACATATATGCATATGGTTAATTAGCCAAATAACACAAAATCATCTCCATTCTGCATCAGTTCACTGATTTCCTTTCCCAAAGGAAATCTTTTTAGCTGATATCTTATGTATCATGTATCCTTCCAGAAAAATTGAGTGCATATGAAATATAAATATAACACACATACAAAACACACACATGTATATTGTATTTGTACCTTGCTTTTTTACTTAAGCTGAGAGATCAAGCCATATTAGCAAACAAATATTCTTTTTTTCCTTTTAATAGGTACATATTATTATAAAACATTTTATCTCTATGTAAAACATATAAAGACTAATATAAAAAATACTAATGTATCCACCACTTACCTTAAGAAATAGAACATTAGCTGGCTATAATTTTTATAGGTTTTCTTAAGATTCCCCTGTATATAAAACATTGAATTTTCTATTGTAACAGCTAAATAATAATTGCAAAATAATACGAAGGATTCCAGTACTTCACACATTTGAGAAAATAATTTTCATTTTCTTTATACTTTTCTTGAAATATAAAAACTTTATAGTAAGTGTTCAATTAGTTTTTCATAAAGAAAAAAGTAACTTTCAAATTTGGCTATGTTACCTTTTAATTAATTCTTTTGTTACTTAGATTTTCAGATTATTCTAATTGTTATTATCCCAGTCGCATTATGTTGAATATTAATTGTAAATGGCCTCAATATTTTGGGGAAGCAAGTCAAAATATAGAAATACATTAAGTAAGTATGGCCACTTTTAGTTAACCTTAAAATTTTTTACCTTGATTATTTTTCTGATCTCAGGTGGTTAAATCTGAGATGGTAAAATCAGATTAATCAGAATTAATAACATTCAGATAATTTTTAAAAGAAGATAGTTCTTTTCTTCACCATACTGCCCAGAGTTCTTCTGAAAAGGCTAAGGATACCTTGACCATTAAAAAGCAATTATTGGGCCGGCCGAGTGGCGCGTTGGTTAAGAGCTGGCTTGGGACGCCAGAGGGCCCCGGCTCGGATCCCACATATGAGGGCCAGTGACACTGCCCTCTACAGCTAAGATGCTGAACAACAGCTCAACCTGAAGCTGGGCTGTCGTGAGTCGCCGGCAACGGCATAGGCTGCAGCCCCTGTGGCAGTGGGTTGCCATAGGCTACCATGTGTAGCCAGCTGCCAGCGTGAGCAGCCGTCCAGAAGCTGGCGACTGATCTGCCTCCCCCGGGAAGAGCGCAATGATGGTGCCAACTTGAGCCAGTGAAGCAACGTCCTCCACAACTAGACTGAAGAACAAAAGGATAGCAACTTGTCTGTTCCCCTTTCTCCAATTCCCCAATTAAAAAAAAAAAAAAGCAATTATTCATTCTTGCTGGAATGTCTTATTCAACACTGATGATTTGGGCTGGCTCCCCTCCTTTGGATTGTTCAGTATAACACATACTTGGCAAGTCATAATTGTCTGACAATGCACAGTATTACAGATAATTTTTCTTTTTAAAAATCTCAATTTTGAGAAAGGTTAGTCTTTTACAAGTTTATGTCACAACCCAAATTTATCTACTGCTTTTAATATTATAATTATACTCTGGCAGTCCTCAAGAAAATTTGAATACAACAGAAGCTAGAATGTTAATATGGTTCATTAGTAATTACAGAAAGATTTATGGTTTTTAGTGTTAGTCTGCTTTTGTTATAATAGCACTTGATGGTATAAAAACAAAATGATAATGAAAGCATTTTTGTGTTTTGACTTTGATATCCTGGAAGGCGGAGCCTTTGAAAGTTAGCCAAGACTACTGCATACTGATGACTACTCATATTACATTCATTTAAATGTGTTTTAAGATGGTTTGTATTTTCTCATTTTTTTGTTAGAGCCAAATACCACAAGTTGAAATATGGGACAGAATTGAATCAGGGAGATATGAAGCCTCCAAGCTATGATTCTGGTAAGCTAATTTTAAAGGAAGTTTAAGTGAATAAAAACAAGTTAATATCTAGTATTTTGTAGCAACAATATTTATAACTGCAGTTAATTTCTAATTGCGTATTAGTAATTTTTTTTTTTTACCTACTTATCTTTTGGCAGTAATCATTTAGTGTCATCTGGCTCATTTTCCCCCACCTCCTTCCTTTTCCCTCTTCCCTTTTCTGTTAGTTCCCCACTTTCTGCTTATGTTCTATACTTACTGGGAGGGTCAGTCATAGGGTAGGTAACATGCACCAACATAACCGTGTCTTGCTGGGTCTCCCCAGTATTAATGGGAACTTTGTGATACGCAGTACAAAGTACCTCATGTCCTTGAAATCCTGAGAGAAAGAGTGGGAACTATGGAGGTAAGAGATTGCTTCTTTAAGTACAGGGAAATTCCTTGTCCCATAAACCTGTTCCCTCAGTTTCATTGTTTTGGACCTTCTCACCCACAGCAGATTCTGTAACCAGATCATCTTTTAATAGCTGAAACATTTATTATCCTTTTGTGTTATTTCATCTTTTTCCTTCTATCATCTTTTCACTCCATGAAACACTACAAAAATAGAACCTGTAAGCAGATATTAAGGAATATAGATATAATTGACTTACTAGTAGGTGTAAGGGAAAAGAAAGAAAAGTTGTTCAAAAGTTATCACCATGTTTCAGATGAGTTTTTTACCTAATTTCAGATATTCCTGTATTAGATATCTGAAGATGTCAGTTACTGTTTATATCATTTACTGAAATACCTGCTTTGTACTAGGGACATTTTGTGTATTAACTGTAATTCTTAAAATAGTTATTCAATAAAGATAATATTATTCTTATTTTACCCATGTGAAATTTAAGCTCAGAGAAGTGGAGTACCTTACCTAAGGTCATGCAACCATTAAATAATGGGAACACAGGTCTGAACCCACATCTATCTGATTGCAAAACTCATATTCTTCCCGTTTTACCACACTGCTTTTATATTTGACAATGTGTGAAAGACCTTTATGAAATAAGTTCTAAATGTGCTGCCAATTTTATAGTTCAGTTTGATGTAGTTATCTTACTAACATTTCCATAGTTGAATATTAAATCCTTGAGAATTAGAGCAATACCAGTTGATCATTGGCATATTTTTTTCCTTTGTTTTTTAATTGTTCTGTCTTTGGTGTCTCTTCTTTTAAATTGAGATGCACTTAAATTAAATTTTTTTTTCTTTTAAACCTAGGCTAGTTGTTAAAGGCTGTCCTAAAATTTAGTACAGTATATTCCCTGATTCAAAGGAGTGATTTTAATTAGTACTTTTACATTAAAAAGTTTGTTTCCTAATTTTTAGATATCAATTTAAGATTACAAAGGCCTAGTTGTGTGCGCGTGCGCGTGCGCTCTCTCTCTCTCTCTCTCTCTCTCTCTCTCTGTATATATATATATATATATATATATATATATATATATATTCTAATTGTATAAACAGAAAAATCTGAAAGTGATTGTCTCTGGGAAGTAGGCCTAGTGTTGGGGAGCCATGTGCTTTTTATTTAATACCAATCTGCATGCTTAGAATTTTCTCATATTTTAATTAAAAATAAAATATGAGAATAAATAAACAAATGCAAGCTGCTATTTATGTGCTTTCCATTTGCAACATGTTTCCCATAGCACTGAGGAACTGAAGACTATTCTTACCTGTTGAAAACCTTCCAAGAGTAGTGTTAACAGGTGATAATTTACTCTGATGCCCGAAATGCAGTGTGACAGAGTGATTTTCCTATAGCTAACACATTCCCCTCGGAGCTTGCTCAGCATCCTTCTGTCCATCAAGCTCTTGCTCTCTTTTCCAATTACCTGGTCATAATAATAATAATTAAAATATATTACTATCCTTTATATGTTGTCTTTAGTATATGATCTCTTTCCTATACTCAAAATTCAGGTGAGTGTAATATTTTACTTTTCTTTCACATAAAGTGAAATTAAATTGTTTAATTTGGAATGCTATTTCCAATTGATTTTTCTCTTATTTACCAGCTGCTAATTAAAATAAAAATTATCTTTTTTCTTGAACTAAATGAATATTATTGACCCCATTTTTTCCCCACCTGAGAATTTACCTCTTCAAAGAGGCCAAGGCTTGTTTGTCCTCAGAGAAATCATTTTGCTCTACCATACTTGGCAATATTTGTTTGAGTATTCAATGATACCACCCTTATGTTAACAGGTTTCATCTCCTTGGTAAGTATGCAAATGAGACTGATCTTTCTGTAGTTCTCAGGCTCTTTATAGGTGGAGATCATGTTAGAAAATTTCAGGTACCCAGACAAAATGACATATCAACTCACAAACTTCGACAAATATGTCATTAACTTTATCCTTGAATGAATTAAGACTCTTGGCTGTATTGCATCAATTCCTTGATTAGAGTGATTTCAATCCCAGCTAAATTCTTTAGAATTGTGCTAAGGTGGACAAAACATGTAACCTCTGTGACTCAGTTTTTTTCCTCCATAAAATGGGGATAATACCACCAATTTCACAAGTACATCCTTGACCACCCTATATAAAATGACCTCTCCATCATTCTGTGTCCCCTTTACTGTACATATCTATTCTTTTCTTTGTTTATTACCTGTCTCCCATACTAGCCTGCAAATTTCCTGAGGATAGGGCTCCACCTGTCTTGCTCTCACATCTATATCTGCAGCACTTAAAACAATGCTTATCACATAACAGCTGCTCAGTAAATGTTTCTTGAATGAATGCTTAAACGAAGAGTATTGCTGAATGATTAAAATGAGATACCATATATAAAATGCTCAGCACTATTAGGACATAACTGCTCATTAAGTTTTCTGAACCCAACTACTTAAATAAGCACAACCAGTATGCCTTTAGACAGTGAGGACTGTCTCCTATCTGAAGTCTCCTCCCTCACTGTCTTAAGTTTATTTTTTTATTTGTTTGTTTTTTGCCTAGAGGCAACATGAAAAAGTTACTGAGAAATTAAGGGCTCTGTGAACCAATCAAGTTTGGGCACCTCTGCAGTATGAGTTACAGACAAACCACACTATCACATGTAGACGAGAAAACAAAACTCATAATTTGCCAAGAAGTTCTTAATATATTGTGAGATTGGCTGGTGGCCCACTGAGAAGAATATTGTCAAAGAAAAGATGCTCAAGTAACCAGAGAGGCCGGAGCAAGCTTCTTGGATGCTGAATCAAAGAGGGGCAAATGAAACTCTTGGGGGGTGTCCTGTGCCGTATGAACAACCTCTGTAGCTTTTGGGCCATGTTTCCCTATGAACAAAAAAAAGAAAGAAAAGACTTTTTGAACATATCATGCCAGCTCTGAACTGTGAAACTACTCATGCAAGACAGATGCAAGGGGTGGGAGATGAGAAGGGATAAGTGAAGGAAGGAGGAGGGGGGAGACTGATAATAAATTTGTGGGAATTCGGACTTCATGCTCGCTGGTACACTGCCCTTAACCACTTTCTGTAAGGTTTCATATTAATAAAATACTATTGACTTTCTAATTCAACATCCAAGACTTGCCTATCATACCTGATCCTAAAACTATATGATTTAGTGGTCTTAACCAAAAATCTAAGTTCTACATTTGTTCATTAAATCTATATGTAGACATATTTAAAGCCCTTCTTATTACAGCCTGGCTTTACATTAAATACTTCAAATTTTTTTTAATAATTTCAATACAATCTCCCTGGCCCACATGTGTGTTAAATAATATATAAACCCCTTAATCTATTGTTCCTTTTTTCAGTAATTCAGTGCAGTTCCCTCCAGCCAGTTTCTGTCCTATATCAAGGCCTTACTTGCTATCAATTCCCTGATTAATCACTTTGGGTTTTTTTAGGCTTCTGGAATACAAAAGTATTCCTACCACTTTCCACGCCTATCTGCTATGCAGCCAAATGGGTTCACTATTCCCTCTCCACCATTTTCCTCCTCCATAGCACTGCATTCCCCTGACAGTGCCAGTGAGGCCTTTATCGATCTGTGTCTTACATTTTTTCTTACTCATTGGTTTTTCTCTAGTCGTTAGCTTTAAAAANGAGAGAGAGGGAGAGAGAGGGAGAGAGGGAGAGAGGGAGAGATTCTTAGAGGAATAAATAAAAGGGAGAGAGTAGAGATACTCAAAATAGGAGGGTATCTGAGGAAGCGATAGGGATTGGATTTTGAACATAGCTGGAGAATGGCAGGAGGAGCCTACTTTTATTGTTATCAAGAAACAATATAGGAAGTTAGGTGATGGATTTGTAGGTTTGGGTTTCAGTTTGGTGGTGGGTATTTAATACAATTTTATGTATCAGACAGGATTACCTGCTAAGAGTGCTTCAGAGGTTTAAGAAAAGTAGAGAAAGTTTAAAATCATAGTGAACAGGAGGACAAACTGAGTAAGAAATGGTAGGATTGAGAAAAGCTAAGGATCCTGGTGAAGTGCGTGGTCATGAGTTTACATAGAAGTTCTGGTCTACACACTTGGCAGCCTCGGTAAAAGGTAGATAGAGGGAAAAGAGTTAATAGTTGCTTTTACTGAATTCATGCAAAGACAAGGGAATAAGAAAATTGATACATTGACAAAAGAATGGTTGAAGTGATAGACTGTGAACTAAAGCTAGAGAGGGAAGGAAGTGAAGACAGAAGGCTAAATGGGTAAGAGGTAGGGGATAGGCTATGATCTAGAGCAGGTCAGCCCATTTTCTCTGGGGCCACATAGTAATACTTGGGCTTTGGAGGCTGTCTCTGTTTGCTGTTGCAGCCACTCAACTCTGCTGTCCTAAATGAAAGCAGCCACAATATATAAATGAATGAGGGTGGCAGGCCAGATTAATCTGCACACAACAATTTGCTGGCCCCTGGTCTCAAGTCCCAGTTAAATCAAAGTAGTGAATTGGGAGTATTGGACCTGAAGGCTATGCTTGGAGAGTGAGTTTGCAGCCCTTCATAATGACATTGTAGGTGAGGGGTGACAGCAAGAGAGGGCGGTGGTTGTGGAGAGGTGGAAGTGGGTCACCCACGTGAAGATAACTTCATTCAAGGTGGTGTAAGGAAAGTTTGATTGCAGAGTAAGTTTGTGAGCCTGGTTCTGAGTGTTGTCGAGGGATGTAGATGACAGTGATAAGGTCAGGACTAGGAGAGGGTAGAAGGTGGTGTATCCAAATAGGGTAAATCTTAAGACATACGGATTTTTCCATTCTTTGTTTATCCATATTCTGTATTTTCCTAAAACTAACAATCCAGACTTTTTTGGAAAATTTTTCACAAAAAATTAGTTTCCCCTCTGACTTTCTTTTTCTGTTTTGTTCCACTTTCAAACCTCACATTTCTACTTTAGGAGAATGTTAACCCAAGTTATGTTAAAATCTATTCATCTTCCGCATTTCAGTTTCTCCTATTTAATATTAGAAGCCAGATACTTATTAAAATAGAATATTTTTATTCAAAGTGACAGATTCTGCCTATTAATTGAGATATTTAGACCATTTACATTTAATGTGACTTGATATGGTGTAAAATCACCACCTTGCTGTTTGTTCAGTCTGTTCTTTGCTGCATTTTCTTCTTCAGATTTCTTTTGGATTATTAGTATCTTTTATGATTCCATTTTATCTCCTTTGCTGACTTATTAGTTTTAACTCTTGTTATTTTAGTGGTTACTTTAGGGTTTATAATTTATTACAGTCAATCTTTAAGTGATAATACCACTTTATAAGTAGTATGAGACCCTTATAACAGTGTACTTCCATCTGTCCTCTCTGTCTTTGTGCAGTTGTTTGCATTTATTTTACTTCTGTGTATTACAAACTACACACTACATTATTATTTTTGTTTCAACAGGCAATTCTCTTTTAAAGAAATTTGAATACTATACAAAGTATATGTTTCCAGTGCTCATCATTCCTTTGTGTGGATCTCTGTTTTCTGGTATCATTTTCCTTCTGCCTTTTTAAGGACTTCCTTTAACATACCTTGTAATATACGCTACTGGTAATGAATTCATTCAGCTTTTGTCTGTCTTGAAAAAGTCTTTATTTTGCTCGCTTGCATTGTTTCTGCTGAGATATCTTCTGTCATCCTTATTGTAGTTCCTCTGTATAGAATATGAGTATGACCTTTTTTCTCTGGCTACTTTTAAGATTTTTATCTTTATCATTGGTTTTAAGCAATTTTACTATGATGTACTTTGGTACCCTCCCCTATTGTTTCCTGTGCTTGGGATTTGTTGAGTTTCTTGGATCTATGGGTTTGTAGTTTTCATGAAATTTGGCATTTTTCAGCCATTATTTCTTCAAGTATTGTTTTTGTTCCTCCTCTCTATGCTATGATCTGGAAACTCTATCAAGGCAGTAAGCTGGAGCAATTATAGGGTTCACCTGTTTGCTTCCCTTCTCTCAGGGATCATTGTCCTTTTTTTGTGTGATGTCCAGTGCCTTAACCATTGTTTCATCTATTTTGTTTTATAGTTGTTTCAAGCAGGAGGGTATATTGGGTCCCTGTTACTTCAACTTGACTAGAAGTACCAGTCAAATATTTTTAACATTACCAAGATATACAACTCTTACCATTTTAAAATTCTCTCTTTTGCATAATGTCATTTTTGAACTTGATAAGGTAAGAATGAATCTGATAGTTGATGACTGCTTACTGACCATTGAGAGAGCTGTGAGGTTGGCCTAGATAAGGAAGTATGAGGAAAATCAAGTTCACATGTTTAAGAGTTTTGTTTTGTTCTTTGTTTTTTCTTTAAACTGCAGACTTCTTTTTTTTTGGTAAATGTCAAATTTTACCCAGGGAGTCAGATTTTATCTCAGTATAAGAATACACTTTTTTTTTTTTTTATTGGGAACACTGTTTTTCCAGGACCCATCAGCTCCAAGTCAAGTAGTTGTTTAAGTCTAGTTGTGGAGGGTGCAGCTCAGTGGCCCATGTGGGGATCGAACTGGCAACCTTAGTGTTATGAGCACTGCGCTCTAACCACCTGAGCTAGCCGGCTGCCCCCAGAATACACTTTTTTTTTAAAGAGTTTAAAATGCATTCTTATTTGATTTGGCTTAATTTATTTTTTATTAAGGTATAATTTACATACAGTAAAATTCATCTTTTTAGTGTTTTCACAAACATGCGCAATCTTGTTACTACTACCCTTTGTGATCATTCTCCCCTCTCTAATCCCCTGGCAACCACTAATCTGTTTTCTAGTCCTATAGCTTTGCCTTTTCCAGAAAGTCATATGAGTTCCGGAATCATACACAATGTAGGTTTTGATTCTAGCTTGTCTCACTGGACATAATGCATTTGAGATTCATACATGTTGGCATGTGTCAGTAGATTATTCTTTGTTCCTATTGAGCAGTACTCCATTGAATGGATATAACTTTGGTAACATCACTAGCTTCCAAAGTATGCAAAAGTCAGTTGAGTGTATCTGAGGAATGTATGGAAAGAATTTAGACCTATTCCAGTGGGAAATTAGATGACCTCAAAAGTTCTTTCACATGGGAAATTTTTAGTTTTTTGGAATGTTAGTGGTGTTCTTACTTGCTAAGTACAGGTTACCTACTTGACTTAAGAATGGGACATATTGGAACATCCTATGTTATATACTCAGTTCCTGAATTTGTGAGTCACTGGAAACAAGATGTATCATTTTTTCTTGGTACTGGAACTTTTGTTTTTGTCTTAAAAAAAAAAGTATACCCTCTGAAGTTATCCCAAAGTAATTTCCCTTTTTTGAGTTAACTAATCCCTCTTACCTCCTTCCCCACCTCTGATATGACCTACTGTTTCTTTGGTGTGTATCACAGAGCTTGGCCTAGTTATTTTAGGAGAAAAATGAAAGTGCAAGATCTAATCTTATTTTTATTAACTTATTTCTCTAATTTCTCATCATTGTAGTGATAGCATGTGGAGGAAAATATGTGCACTCTGGAGTCAAACAGACATGACTTCAGCACTTATAACTCTATTTCTAACTTAAGATTAACCTGTAAAACTCATTTCTCATCTTCAAAATGAGGATAGTAATAAAACCTATCTTTTGCATTTGTAAAGTTTAAAAGAGATAATGTATATGTTTTTAACACAACACCTGGACCATAGTAAATACGTAATATCAAATAACCATAAAATAAATATTCCCAGTTTTTCTTGTAACTCCACTTGAATAAAACCCTATAAAGACTACAGTTTCTTATTGTTTGATCAAGGGCTGATGGAAAGTGTGAACTTTTTTGTGTGTTTAAAGTAGAGCCATAGTGTAGTTTGGAAATTCTTTAGTTCAGACTTAATCAGAGAGAAGACTCTTTGTTTTACCACCTTCTAGAAAGGATTCGGCTTCTACCAAATGATGCATTTAAAGCTTTACAAGACCTAGGAGATTTTCATTTAAAGAATGTCTTAAAAAGAATACTTGAGGTTTTCATTTAATAACTGGTGAAGGAAATAGATTTGGACCGAGATTATTTCTTATCTATCCTTTAATCAAATTGGCTTTTTTTTTTTTTTTACCACATTCCTGGGTATTTTGTTCTAATTCTGATATGCTGCTTCATAATACTTTTATTTGACTTTTATTGTGTGACTTGATTTGGACAGGTCTTTGTCCTGGAAGAAAGTTCTCAGGCTGCCTAAAGATTCCAAAAATGTCTTTATTTTCGTTCTACAACTATGAGGAGAATCAAGTAGCAATAATATATTTAGGTGTTTTTTTTTATGGAAATTTGACTTAAAAACAGAATTTGCATTGTCCTAAAACATAACTTACAGTGCAGTTTTACATAATCTTACAAATTTTTCTTGGACATTTTTTACAAAGTGAGATGCCCTCTAATATATATAACAATTCAGTTTTATTATGATTTAATGTTTTCTAGATGAAGGTAATGAAACAGAGGTGCAGCCACAACAAAATAGCCAGTTAATGTGGAAACAAGGTCGACAACTACTCAGACAGTAAGTAACACATGATCCTACTAAACAGGAAAAGCATGTATTTTCCTGAGATTATTTTTGTTTTGTATTTTCAACTCAATAGAATAATTTTATCTTTCATATTATTATACTGCTGCTGTGGAAAATCTTAATTGAATTACTATTCCTTTTTCATATTAAACATTTTTTCCCCTTGTGGTGGAATTTATTTTTTATTAAATAAGAATTATTAAGAATGAATCCTCTTTCCATAATTTTAGCTTCATCAAAAAAGAGTACAATTTTAAGCTTCTAAATTTTATTATATACTTAAATTTATAGTTGAAAGAATTCTATACTCTTAAAGTCACTCTTTTCGTTGTACCTTTTATACATGAATATATGTTTTAATATAAATCTAATTAGTGTTTTTATGTAACTTTTGTGTATGTTTTTAAATTTTTTATTTTAAATTGATTAAAGAGCTTTTGAATTTGCCAAATTTGCAAACATTGCACAACGTATACTTTTTCCTATAAAAATGTGTATTTGAGACTATGAAGAGAGAAAACAAAGCTGGGTTAAGGTTCAGATGTCAGGTGGTGGGCTGGACCACTCACCAGCTCAATGCCTGGTCCTTGCATGTCATGTTTGAAACTGGTATTCAGATTTGTGCCTCAGGAAAATGAAATTTGCTACCTGTATGGACTTTTGTGGTTGCTTGTGAATAGTTTAAATCTGTGATTTCAAAAGTGAATGCATGTCATTCATTCTTTTTGATGAAGTTAAGAGAATATTAAAATGTCTCATATCTATTTTTTATCTACTCAAAATTAGAAGAAAATGAGACTTCCCTAATATTTAATAAGTGGGTTTTCAGTAGTGCCCTCATTTTGGTCTTAAATATGATTTAGGCATTTTCCTTTTATAAATAAACAAGTGTCCTTAAAGTGCTGATTGTTTTTTTTTACTGAGTTGTTAATAGTGAGCAATCCCAGAGATATTTTCAAAACTTTGAAAGACTCATAATCTGCCTCTCAAAGTAAAGGTGGCATTTTATCAGTCAATGAGGAAGTAACTATTTAGGTAAAGCCAGCTTATTTGTGGAAAGCAGTTTTTTATGATGCGATTTTTGTGCCAAAGTGAAGTATGTATCAAACATTACTTGTTAAAAATGGAAAAGCATAATACCTTTGTATTAGTTTACAACAATTAACGGATTAAATTTAAGAAAGTTAGAAATTTATTATCCAAATTTTAATCCAAAACCTTTCTATAAATATTGGTTATCTTCTGCACTGTTGTTGACTCTTTCCTCTCCTAGACTTGATGCTTACTTTTAAGTTAATGCCTAACATTTGTCTGTTTCTTAATGACTTTATTTATCACATTGGCCTTCTTTGTGTTCCTTCCACTACCAGTTTTGTCTTTTTTGGTCATCTTTGTTGTTAATAAATATTGAGTGCCTTCTGTACTCTATGTGTCTTCCTTAGGGGAAAGAAAACTGAGGTTCAGAAGAATTAAAGTAACACAGGAAGCAAGTGGCAGAAATGGGCTTAAGACCCAGTTCTAACTCTCAATACAAAGCCTATTCTCTTTTTTCTGTGCTACTGCCTCTGCAACACACACACACACACACACACACACACACACACACACACACACACACACACACACACACACACACACAAACCCGTGTACCCAAGCATCCCACATCCTGCAATTGAATTGTGGTTTTGTTTTTGTTTTTAATTTTAAGAGTTTTCCCAGGATAGAAGCTTCCCTTCTGTAGAAGTGACTCTTTGGAATATACTGTCTTCTTTCATGTCATGGAGGAAACCATATATGCTAGAAACATTCTCTCTAGATCTCAAACAGTTGGCGCAATGACACTTTACATCAGAAATATGAAAAGACTACTGGTTATAGTAATTATTGTTATAAAATAGTGATTCAGTAGAATCTGATAGTGAGTTTACTCCAACTGTGCCTAGAAGAAAGAATGTGCTATTAGGTATATTAAAGAACAGTATCTTCTTATGATAAATATAATGAATGGTGTATTGTAGAGTTCTTTGATTTTTCTCAGTGACCGGAGAGGCTGGTACTGCAGGAGACAGCTCCATCTGCAGCTGGAAGATTATTTATTAGCAAGTCATACTAGCATAGTGCTATACTGTTAAGTCTTATGCAGGCAATGAGTTGAAAAAAATACTTTATTTACATAAGAAGTTATAGAATACTGATTCCAATATGGCTGAATTGTGAGGATCCTCTTCATACACAGGTATCTACAGGAAGTCGGTTACACAGATACTATTCTAGATGTGAAATCTAAGCGAGTGCGAGCTTTGTTGGGCTTTTCAAGTGATGTCACGGACAGGGAAGATGACAAAAATCAGGATTCTGTTATAAATGGCACAGAAGGTGAAGTTAAAGACACAGCAATGATTGGGTAAGTATTTTGTCTGTGAAGTGTTTTAGTTATAACTTTAGTTCTTATTAGATATTGATGGTTTATGGGTGATACTTATAATACTTGCACTTTTAGAAAGTGCTACAGAATTACAATAAAGTTTAATAAAAATGGTAAAATTCATTTAGTAGGAGATAACGGATTAGTTATCATTTATGATTATTTTAAGAATATTTTTATTTAAGACATTTGCTTGAAATTTATGGATTTAATATAGATTTTAATATCTTAAAGTTCCGTCACTTACTATTAGAATTTCATATAAAATCTTGTTTTGGAAATTCAGTTCAAATTAGTAAGAATGAAATTTCATTCCTTGTGACCCAGAAATCATATTACCTCTGATTCTTTAAAAGTAAACCTTTTCTTTTGTTTATCTACTAATTCTGTAAACTCATCTTTCCTTTGAAAAATATCTATTTTAAATATATTTTTTTCATTGATAGAATAGGTGTAAAAAATTCAATACCTGTTTGGAATATTTTATTTTGCTTTTTGGATCACCTATTGTACAGTTATATGTAATTCTGCTTAAAATGAACATGAACAAGTTAAATGAGGAGATTCTTATTGAAAAAAATTTGGTAGGATTCTTAAAGAAATAAAAAGCCAAAGATTCTATGAAAGTCTAAATATGATGTTACTTTATTTTAATGTATACTTAGGCTGGAAGAATGGCTTTAATTGAACTCTATTTTTTAGTGAGAACAGAGTTTCTGTTTTCTGGAACATAAACTAAAATTATGAGATTTAGGTAAAGGTTCAAAAATACGACTTTTATAAACATGTCACTGGAGCCTTATTAAATGTATTCATTAATAATTCAAACTGCATTCAATTATTTTTGTAAATGTTGATTGTTTCTCTGTGTAGACACAGACAATGTAGGCATTATTCCTGGTTATATTTTTACCTACAGGGTTAACTTAAGCCATTATAAAGACCTTCAGGGAAAGACCACTCTAGTTGCCTTGTGTTTTGATCTTGACCTATCTTTTGAAGCTGACAAGGTATTATTCTGAATCTGCCTGATTTATGTAGAGACGAAGAATAGGGTGGAAAAAACCTAAAACACAGCTCTCAAAAAATTTGAAATTTATGATTTATCTGTTTTGAAAATTTTGTCCAGAATTGTGGCTAAATTTTTTACGAAAATGCCTTCTATCTAAAACATTTTTATTTATTTATTTTTAAAAGATATTTATTGGGGAATTGGGGGATAGGAACAGCGCTGGGGAATTGGGGGAAGGGAAATATAAGTTGCTATCCTTTTGTTCTTCAGTCTAGTTGTGGAGGACATTGCTTCACTGGCCCAAGTTGGCACCATCATTGCGCTCTTCCGGGCGTCGCCGGCGACTCACGGCAGCCCAGCTCCAGGTCGAGCTGTTGTTCAGCATCTTAGCTGTAGAGGGCAGTGTCACTAGCCCTCATATGTGGGATCCGAGCCGGGGCCCTCTGGCGTCCCAAGCCAGCTCTTAACCAACGTGCCACTCTGCCGGCCCTAAAACACTTTTTAATGAACAGGAGAGAAATCCAGTGCTAGCCATTGGGAAATTGTTTACTAAATTTAATTTTAGGGAACTAAATTCAAATCTTATATATTTGGAAAGTCAGTCATTTCCAAAAGTTTAATGATTTACTCACCAATAGGATCAAGTTTTGTAGTAATATTAATTTGATTGATCTATTGTATTTAGTAACTTTATGTACACATTTGCTTTTTTCAAACTAGCTGTTCAGAAATATAAGATTGCATCAGAAAAATGACATGTTTACTCATTATTTTCTTTGTTATAGAAACTCAGGTGTCAGAGGAAGAGTTGCATAATGTAAAAAAATAGAGAAAAATAGCAGATATAAGAAAAATATTTTTGAAAAGAGATACATGAAGGTTGACTTAGGATCAAAATAATACTGAATCAGAAGGGGGAGTTCTTTACCTTAGATTACCATTAATCTAAATAGGTAGGGTTGCAAATTACTTTAAAAAAGTAACCAATTCCTATATTGCTTTCCCAATTAAAATTCATGGAAATGTAATGGATAAGAATCAATGTAATTCATAATATGAGTTGGGAGATCGTAATTACAATATAAACAAAAGTTAGTGTAATATATCATGGATTAATTTTTATGTTGAGTTTAAAAAATTAACTTAGCAAGATGTATGTGTTTTAAACCAGAAAATCCGAGTTAACGGATTCTGCCTCTGTGCTGGATAATTTCAAATTCCTTGAAAATGCAGCTGCAGATTTCAGTGATGAAGATGAAGATGATGACATTGATGGAAGAGAAAAAAGCATCATTGATACTTCAACAGTGAGTTGGATAACTCAAATATAAAAATTTTTAGGGACTATTATGCATACTTAAAAAATAATCATGTCCTTCAACCTAAACCCTTAACTTTTTCCCCCATGAATTTGGAGAAATTTAATATAAAGGAGTTTTTAGTGTTGCTTTCAAAATCAAGAATATTTTTAGTATAGCAGCTTTCTGTGAAGGGCCTCACTCTTTCTATTTATTCATTGAACATGTCCGCCTTTCTATAGAGCTGGTGAATATGGTAAATGCCATGTGTTAAAACAATGCAGTGTTATTGATTGCTATAAGACAATAGAACTGACAGACCCGTTATGGTGCCTGATGGTGACTGGCATCAACTCTAACTGGTACAGTTTTTGTGTTTCTTACCAAGGTTGCTTCGTGCCTAAGTTCTACAGACTTTCAGAACTTGTCCATTACAGTGCTTCATTTTTCTGGGTTATTCTGAAGTTTTGTTTAGTTCTTTATTATAAGTTGATTGACTTTCCCATGGTAGTTTCTTGCAATAACAGATGTCTCTAAATTGCTTCTTCTCCCTTTTCTTCTCTTCTCCGTTCTATCCCCTTCTTCCCTCTCCTTTTCCCCTCTCTACTCTCTTTTCTTTCTCTTCTCCTCCCTTCTCTCTCTTCTTCCTTTTCCCCCCTTTTCCTTTATTGTTGAGTAAGAGATGAGGGCATGCTTTGCTTTGTCTAGGAAAATGTGCACATTTCCTCTTTCACTTTTACTTGAGAAGAGTGAGGAGGAAAGTAAGGTAATATATTATATAAAGCAGCCTGGAAAATAAATAAATCAAGCAAGCAAGCAAGCAATTTGTTCCTCATGCTCTCTGCTTCCATCAGAGACTCTCAAATTATTATTTCCAGATAATTGTTTCCGTGGGCCACTATTCAGTTGTATTCTGCTGATACAGCCCTGCCATGGTTATTATTTGAATTTCAAGTAGTTACTCCCATTTTTTATTATCCAAAGAAGTAGTAATTTACTGTAGTAAAGAAAATGCCTAAAGTTGCATGATACCTTTTCTTTGTCCTGATCATTTGGAAATTTTGTGCTGACTTTTTTTGTGATATTGCATTGAAATATTATTTTAAAGTCAAAATACTCTATTTATAGCTCAGTGGTTAATAGCTAATTGTGATGCTTTTAAGGTTCGTTAGTCATTGTATCAGCTTAAATATTTAAAAAAATCTATAAGCTGATCATTGTAAGTATTAAGCATAGTCTCACTAGAAATTCCATTCAGAAGGTGGTTTCTTTTTTAGTAATGAAATTCACAAATATCCTATCTTCCAATTAGTATAAATAGATCATAGGAATTCTGTGACCAAGCAATGAAGGCACAGCTAATGTAAACATACTTAACCCCTTTGAAACATTGGACTCAAAAAGTCTTGTAGTTTTTTCAGGGGAAAAAAAAAATTCTAAACAAATAATTGGTTTCTTTGTAATAGTTTTGCTAATTTTTATGTTGTATTAGTTTTCACAGCTGCAATCTAATAGCAACATGCCAAAAGGTCTTTAAAAATCTAACTCTAGCAATGAATAAATGTGACTTAGAAGATTTATTGCATTGCTGTAGAGAGAGAATTAGCTGAAAATTGCCGTATTAAAATGTTTAGTAGAACAGTTTTTTAAAAATGTTATTGTATTTCTTTTATTAAAATAGTTTTCTAGATTCAACTAAGAAAATCCAGAAACCTAAGGTTCTTAGCAGCTGTCGGTTGTGTTTAGGCTGTGATATGGTGTAGTGTCCTCAGTAGCCTCATGTGTTCCTTCTCCTTTCTTGCTCTTCGCCCTTTGCTGGAGCTTGATTGTTCTTTGAGTTACATTGTGGATCATTTTCCTCCTCTCTGTGTCCATCTCTTGTCTCATGAGCAACCTCTTCAGCATAATTTTGTTGCCATCATTATGAGCATTCTCATCATCATATCATTTGTTAAGTGTAAAAATGATCTTGGAATTTTATATGTATATAAAGAGTGATCGTTTTGAACTATACAAAGGATAACTTGAGCAGCAACATTCAGAAACTTTAGGAGGGAAAGGTAATGAGATGAAGAATCATTAACTGTCATTTTAGTCACAATGTGAAGAATCCCATCCCCATTTATGTTGTGCCTCTTCCATTGGTTTTCAAAGTGACAGCCCATCTCTTTTTCTAATCTTTTTAGTGCTCTGCAACCCATAACTTTTTTGTTTGTGTTAAATTTATTAAGTTGATTCATAATCTCGTTGAAGTTAAGAGTGGAGTAGAACCTTAGACATAAGGAAGAAAAATAATATGTGCTTATTACAACAAACCCTACCCATTCCCATTTACTAATCCATTGGTAACTATAGTTCACTGTTCTATTTCTATGCCTAACCATTACACAGACCTGAGTTTTTGTGTATTTATTTAAACGGGACACTTGTTAGTGATCTGCAACTTGCCCTTTATCTTCCTTCTTTATAAGGTCATATAGAGGAGATGAGACCTACAAACAGGTTTTTTCCCCAAAGAGTTAGTTTTGTGATTTACTACCATATTTAGTAATGACTAATGTTGAAAATACATTCAGACTTTGATTTTAAGGTTCCAGATATTTCTTCTGTATTTTCCCTGTCCTTTTTGTCAGGCATTGAGAATAAGGATTCTCTATCTACAAGATGTTGGTGATGATCCCTTTGAATTATATCTGCTGTGTCCCATCAGGGTCACGGAAATGCAGGGATCCATCCTCCAGGGTTAAAGAAGGTGGACTGGCGTTGCATTTGTACGTGGAACTGTGAAGACTGGTGTCTTCTGTTGGTAAAGCTCTTCAGAGACACTTTTCTACCTTAGTCTCACTGCCCAGGAGAAAAATATTAATAAAACAGATTATTAGTATATGGTTTGTGAATATTTACAAGAGAATACACCTTCAGCATGGGTTTTCTGTTCACAGTCTGTCAAACTGATTTTAGCTTTTTTGTTTAATAGATATGCTAGATGGTAGATTGGAAAATGCTGTAAACATAAAAGTATTTCTTGATTTTAGGGAACTATTCTAAATAGTTAAACCAATTATTCTACCATCATTAAAGAGTCCTTGATTTCTCCTATTCACTTTTTATATATACCTGGACAGTTAAGGCAGATTAGATTTCATATTAGATTTCATGTGCCAACGTCTATTGATAGTGGCTTCCTGGAGTGCTGCATTGAGAAGGATTTCTGAGGCTGTATCTGGTCTTAAATGAAAAGTGCTGTGATTGATAAGTAATAGCAGTCATGAGAATGAGAACAGGGCCATACAAGTCAGCTAATTGTTCTCTCTTAGAATCTATTTCTAGACTCTCCAGTCTGTTCCATTGGTCTGTGTGTATTGAACCATTATAATTTTAAACCACTCAAAATAGTCCAGTGATGAAGTTTGACCAGATCATGCTATTTCTATTTTGCACATAGTAGATAGAGAAGCTGAAGTCTGGAGAAGTTGAGATACTGAGTTCATTTTATCGAAAGAAGCTGCAAACCAGTTGTCCTAATTTCTGTGTGCTCTTGGTGGTGGAGGTGACCAAAATGGGGGTAATTCATAGAGTATAGCATATAAATCTCAAAAATTATCTCTATGCATTAGCCTAAGTTTTAATATTCTAGCTGGATTTGTGATTCCAGAGGTATTCCTAAATATATAAAAAAGAGATATAAGGGCTCTTATCATATTTGCTATTAAATCAAGTCTCACTCTGAAACATCAGTGTTTTAGTAAAAATTTGAATATGTAGAAAGTTATTGGAGAAAATTGATACAAAGTTGGGACAGTGTAAATAATAATGGGAACCTCCCCCTCTCCCCCCCACGAACTGACTACCTTCTAAGTCTTGAGGCATGTATTACTGAATTTGTAGTTTTTGTGATTCTAAGTTTTGTAAGGGGATGATGTAGTAGAATTAAAATTTATCATGGTTATACTCTGAAAAACTTGCAATGTTTTATGAAGTGCTTTCTTTGGTTAGATTCGGATGTCTACACACTGCACAAACTGCATCCAAGAAATGTAAGATTTGGTTGTAGTTCTTATAATACACTATGTTAGGGATGTTTTTCATCTATTTGTAATTTAAATACATGTCTTATATTCCAATGTTTTCAATATATGATTCCATTAATTTATATAAAACAAACCAGCCATCATTGAACAGTTTAAATTACTACTTTTAAATATATAAATATATGAGTATCTTTTTAATTAATTAATTAGTTAATTAATTTATTTATTTTTAAGCTGAGCCATCCTGCCACCTGTTGGCAGCTCAGCGGCTGCTCAGTTCGGGCCGGGAATCGAACTGCTGTTGCTCAGAGCTCAAACTCTTGAGCGAGCTCTTAACCAACTGAGCCACTAGGCCGGCCCTATATATGTATCTTTTTAAAGTGACACATGTGTTTTCCAGTGAATTGAATAGGTATTACAGTTATTTAACACAACAAGTATACACTTTCTGAAGAAAACAATAATTGGGTTTTGTCATTCAATGGTGAAAGGATACCATCTTCTTTATTTAAATTAATTCCATAATATATTTTAATTTAGCATGTTTTTTCATTAGATTGTTAGGAAAAAAGCATTGCCTGATAGCAGTGAAGATCGAGATACAAAAGAAGCTCTAAAGGAGTTTGACTTTTTGGTTGCATCAGAGGAAGGAGACAATGAATCTAGAAGTGCAGGCGATGGAACGGACTGGGGTAAGGAAGGATCCTGGATTTAACCAGGGATGCTATGTAAATGAAAGCAACTAATAATTTATCAGGAGGGCAGCATCTTGAAGAACACTTTAAATATCTTAACAGTGTTGAAATTTTGAACATCCTATGAACTTTTTAACTACTGTCACTGGTAACTTCTAATTGTTTTAAATATAAGCAATATAGTATGAAAATAATTTGAATTAATATACGGAATGTTCTGTTTTCTCTTGAGGTTAAAGAATCCAGGATGCCTTTAGCTTACAATGTACTTTAAAAACAGATAAGGTTTTAGATATTCAGAACCTATCCTAATTTGTTCTTGGGGCTTTCCTTGGGGCTTACCATCAGAATTCTGATGGCGCTAATACCACTTATTTTCCTTCCTGTGGCAAATATTTGAAGAATTATTTGGGATAATTACTTGAAGTCTTTGAAGAATATAATGGTTATTTAGTGACTGACTTTTTTTTTCAGCAGAACAAAGTTTGGAAACCAGGGGAAGTTAAAGTGAAATGAGTCTCTCTTCCATCTTTCTCCCTAATGAGCTTATGTATCAAGTTACTCTGATATTTTAGGCAACAATTCTACCAATATTGCTAGATCCACTGTACTACACTGAGGTCTTTCTTTGAGGAGTCAGACATCTGCATAAGTAATAATTGGCCGTTTTCATTGCCAATCTTATTGCAAGGGTAACTGGGATTCACTTTTCTCCAAAGACAGCTGTGTTGTCCCTTGTGTAACTTCCTTTTTTTTTTAAGGTGTGAGTCACGGCCCTGAGTATTAGATGATACCTGTGTGTACATTTTCTCCTAATTGCTATGAAGTTACTGGGAAAAAAATGAGTGACTGTTCCTACATTTGAGCTGTCTTACTCTTCAGTCCTGTGGTGGAATTTCTGTTTATGGAGTATGAGTGAATGGACTCTTTCAGTTAACTAGAGGTTTCTTTATCAGGAGTTTGGGTTTATGTGTTTTAAGAATTTTATAATTCTAATTCAAAGCATTTCACTTTTAAGTAGTTAACAAAGCTGGATTGCAAATCCTGTGTAGTTGAATAGACATTTAAACCATTTTAAATGCTTCCTTTATCCCTCCACTTTCCCCTAAAAAAGTGAATATGCTTAGGTTAAGAATCTCATTAGTGCCGGCGACAGCATAGGCTGCAGCCCTTGCTGCAGTGGGTTGCCATGGGCTACCAT